CATGTGCCTGGGTTTCCGAGATGCTCTTTGCTGTAGAAAGCCACCTTGTGTATAGCAACACTAGGGCAAAAATTGTAGAAACAATGAGAAAAAGCAGCTTCACAAATATATAATGAAGAGGTAGAAACAGATTAGAGCAATCTGTGGTTTTGAAATTTGTCAAAATAAAGCAAACCACATTAATATGTCAGTGTGCAAAGATACTGAGTGCAAACCACAGTGGAAATTGGTGCCATACATGTCTGTATTTCCCTCAGTTTTCTTCGTTACACAACCATCTGCATCACGGCTGTGAGGTGCCCTTGCACCTCCCGTACACCTTGTGACAGAACTTATGTGATCAGATGTGAGAGAGGCGCGGGGAGGTGAGGGTAGGGTAGCGATGCCTACTGGCCTTGTCCCATGCTGCTCTGCGTTGCCCCTGTCAGATGATGATGATGAGCCTGTTTTTCTCACCTGTGCTGCTTTTAAGACGAGCTGCTGCTAGTCAGTGTGCAGGCACAGTTTGTTTGCCAAAGTCTTGAAATTCCAAGGACTCTACCCTTAGGTCCCAGGAGGTGCAAGGATCCTCCCAGGCATAGAAGCTGGAGGACTCACTCCTAAATACCTTCAGGATCAAGCCCTATTTCCTGTTAAAAACTGATGGTGCTTGATTAAGTTCTCATGGCATCAGGCTCTTGATGTCTTTGTAGTCATGGAAGCCCAAAAAATGTTTACTCCTATTTTCATTATGGTTTTTAGCCCTGGGATGCTCCTGTCTTATAGGAAGAATGTCCCAATCAAAATGAACAGCACTGGTGCTTTTCAAGAGCAAAAAACTGTTTTTTCTGCCAATCAATTATAGCATAGCCATTTTCTCTGGATTGTGACTGTGGGAGATTTCACACAGTATACCCTAACCATAATTAAATCCATACTCTTCGTGAATGCATCTGTATCACATTCAGGTCTTTTTCTAGACAGTACTCTTCTATATTAAAGTACTTTCCTTGGATAACCTTCCATGTCACTACCTATTCAGCAAAGGGTGTGTTTGTCTGGAAATCTTTGAAATAGGATCTTGAAATAAACTCGAGCTGAGATTTACTCAGCATAGAAATGCATATTTCTAGGTTTTCAGATAACAGCTACAAGAGCTGATCTAATTAACTGCTGTTCTGTAGCTCTTACAGAATCTATCTTATTTGTATAACAAATGTGCATCGATTGATGGCAAGCAAGTGCTAAAGCGAGTTCAATTGCATTTTATGTTGTGTGCTTAGTCAATAAGGCAGAGGAAGCGTCTGCTTCACACTGGGATATTGTGAGGGCTATTGGAGTGAAGGGATGCAGGATTACCTCCTGCACCTTCCCAGGCAGCATCGACCGCAGCCGTAACGTGCCTGCTGCAAGGCAACGGTCTTAGTCACTTAGTGGGTCCTGCCAAATATTTACTGAAGGATTTTTATGGTTATTCTATTGCACTTCACAGGCGTAATTCAAAACGGATCTATTATTAATGTATAAAATAGAAGCATAAAGCTGTTTTCTTATGAATGTCCCTCGCTTTGGTTTGCTCCAGTGAGTGAATTTACCTTTAGAGAACAGAAATGTAAAACATGTGAGAGCTGTAATCCTCAGCAGTGTCGCTTTTTGCCATCACTCACAAAAAAGCACACCTCTGGTTTAAAAAAAAATAATAATAAGTAAGCATATTGTTATAAAACAAATACTTAAGCCTTCTGTATTATCCTGGCCAAGCCTTGCTGGAATCCCGACCCAGTGTAATCTTCTATAAATACCCCTCTATAAAAGCACCTCTCCGAGTATCTCAGTATATTATTTAAATCCCAGAGGAACTTCAGAAAGCGCAGGCAGGAATGGAAATCCCTTTCAGCGACAGCCTTTTGTATGGGAGCTTTCCGAAGAGGGAGGCCTGATCCTGCAGTGCTGAAAGCCTGTGGGGTTTTTGCAGGAGTCACACAAGGCCCCTAATTTGGTAGGGAAAAAAATAAATCCAGGCTAGTGGGAGGAAATGCTGCCGTGAGTGCCTGATCCTGGGCCATGTTCCTGCTGGGAACGCAGCGGGGACACGGTCCCGTGATGTTGCTGGAGTCACCTGACGGCCAGCCTGGCCCTGGGTTCACGCCAGTGTAAATGCCCATCAGCAAAACAGTTGTGATTTATTGCTCATAATGAGATCCTTTTAGCAGCAGATACCAAAAAAGTTTAGGCCTGGCTTTGAGGGGAGCAGCCCCTTGGGTTTCACATGAGTCTGGGTGTGTAAGGTTAAGCACGTGTAGGTACGCGTTTTCTAGGGCTCGCTGCAAGTTCCATCCTTTGCTGCTGCTGCAAGTGGGGAGTTTATTGTTTGGACAGTACTAGAGATGTGATCTCCTTAAGATTTAAGTTTTATGGGGATGCTAATTGAATTAAAAGATTAATATTCAGTGCAAGGGACCAAGGACATAGGTGATTAATCCTGAGAAATAAAACATGTTTGTGTCACACAGAAGCTCTACAGGGGGGAAAAATACCAGCACTGAAGGACCTTTGACAAGAAAGGTTGTTTTTTTCCCCTGACAACCCTGTCAGCTATTGCTGTCAACAATAAAAAGAAGAAAACAAATAAATTGGAGGCCATGTGTAAGTCATAGGATCAGGATATAAATACACATGACATGAAGAGGAGTAAATAATACTGACGCTTTCTTTGGAAATGTTCTCAGGCAATACTTCCTATTCATGTCTTACTGAAATGACACGAAATAAAACTTTATGGGAGAAAGTGTTATTAATCACACCACTTCTTGAGAGACGTGACTACCTGTGTATTCAAAGGCACTCTTCCTTTACAGGGCTACTGGCTAGTTCTCTACATCAACAATGCGGATATAACGAAATCTGGAATTTTATTCATCAAATTGTAAAAGAAGAGGCTATGTAGGATCCCAAGCTCATGGTCCTGTCCCTGAGCAAAGGCACCCAGGTCTGATTTTGCCTGAGGAAGGCAAATGGCATTACTCGGGGGAAAGAGAAACCCTCAAATTAATGGCAACTCTTCAAAACCCTCACAGTAAAATGGAGAAAAAAATAGGTTCTTACTCCAGTCATTGGGAATTTAATAGTTACCATTTATAATCAAGTTGCTACTAGTAAAGAGAGCAAGGCTTGCTCCTGGTCATGTGTTAGGACAAGCTTTAGCTGGCTGAGGTCCTCACTGAGGCTGACTGCACCTGAGATCCTACCTTCGGGCATGATAACAAGTGCACGTGCCATCGGCTCACCTGCTTTTCCAAGGCAGCCCATTTGTACACCATTTCTACTACGTGTAGCTGCAGCCTCCAACACCACCTATAGCCTACAACATCCTCTCCCTCTATGGATGCAGCCAGGATGCCCTGATCCAGCCACAGCAGCCCCATGGTGGCACCTGGGACCTGCTTTAGCACTGATGTCGATGCTGTTCCCTGTGTCCAGTCATGGGAGCTGCCACAAAGATGCCGTCTTGTTGCAGTGCAGTGGTTCTGGAGCGCATCCTAAAATACCACATGTGCACAGGCACGGGGATCAGTTCACCATCACCTGGGTTTCTCCCACAGAATAGCACAGCTAGCACAGCTGAACTCGCCATCTGCATGTCCTGCATATTTCTAATTTCCAAAAGGCAAGCGCATGCATGGGACCCAGCAAAACTCTGTCAGAAATTCATCAGGAGTTTAAAGGAGTAAAGTGGTCAGATTTATACTGCTGCCAGATGCCAAAGGACAGAAATGTCATAAATCGATGTTAAACACTCATTCACATATTCCAAGCAGGCTGATTTCAACCTTGATTTTTTAAGGTAAAAGCTAAAGGAAGTCTATTGATGAAAATGAGCCAGCCATCTGGGAAATGAACCAAGGCCCGCAGCAAGTAAAAGGCCCAGTGAAATTCACAAGGCCTTCAGTTGGGTTCCTCAACTTTGGCCAAGGAGGAAATACAGTCCATGTGGGACTGCCTGGTTCAGTGATGCCCCAACAGTGTTTTTAAGCAGTGGTGAGCCATGGGGGTTCTGCATGCTGCCCTTCCAAACAAGGGACATGGGGGACAAGGCAAGTGAGTGTGACATTTGGGTCTACAGGTCTTGTGACCCCCTGTGAGGCTTGCTTACAGATCCTCCATAACTACAGAAGTAGAAGACTCTTGACTGAAGTGCTTAAGACAATAGGGGCCCGAAAAGCACTGCTTAAAAAGGGAAACTGCATTTATCAAGCTGTTTTATGCATTCTTCAGAGTAGGAGCACCCCTCCTTATAGGGCTGAAAAATGCCTACCAGTGAATATCGACTCTTCCAATAAATCTAAATCTTCAGAAATAATAATAAAGGCAGCTAAATGAATACTAAAGTGCACAAATACTTTTCTATTGTTGTTAACCATTATCAGTTACTGCCAAAAGGCTAAAACACAGTCTCAGACTGCAGGGCAGTTGTCCTGTTTGCTAGGATGTCCACTGGAGGAGAGGTTGAAAGCCCCTGTTATAGTCTGGGCTGCTTCTCATCCAGAGGCAGCAATGGTTACTGATTTACAACCATACAACTCACACTGGTGACATAAAAACCCTGTTAGCATCCAGTGGTACATAGGATGGTGCTCTTTGGGCTTACAAGCCTAACTTATAAGTCTTCTGCTTCTTTTTGATAGCGAGTTACACAGACAAAAGCTCAAAAGACATCCCAGAGGATGTTGCCAAGCTGCGACTTAGTAGGTCTGATTCACAAAGCCTCTCTGGGTAAGCTTTTTGTGCCTTGGTGTTCATGAAGTGGAGGTTAAAGCTCTTCCCTCTTCACAATCCACATAAATGAGGCTCTTGCATGTATAGCTGGAGCCCCTTTGCAAACCATCTGACTTACATACCGCTCCTTGAGTTACAGTCCTGCTAACGCAGAAAGATCTTTGGTCTTGAAAAATGCTATTATTAACACTATTATTATTATTGCTTTTTATAATTTTGACTCATTCTAAATCTTTCCTTTGCAGGTCTGTGTGGTGTCCTTAGTGGGATTTGTTATGCTTTGCATTTCATATCAACCTGATGAGAAGACGTGCGTGCAGTTCACAGTAAAGGTACCTTGAGTTTCTGTTATTTCTTTTTCCTCCCATGTCATTAAATATAATCAAAAAAGTTGGTTCTGGGGATATTTTTAAGACCACATTAAAAGAAGTGAAAATACACCTGAAATGCAAGAATGGTTTTCTGGTATTTTCCAGGCAGACAAGGAAGAAACTGCAGTCTATAAAGGGGAAACTGTAACAAATATTTGAAAACACAGCAAGATACCTTTTTATAACTTGCCATATTTTAAGAATATCAAGGAGATTCAGATCAACAAAGCTGAAATATTTTGGGAATTGTTCACTGAAAGATGGGTATTACTGATTAAATAGAGGCATTCAGAGTGTGCCAGGTAAGAATTAGTGTGGGGTAGAAGAGGTCCAATTATATTAAATTTCAATTTTTACTGTGGTCTCAGAAGCATCTCAGCATCTTCCCTGCCATTTTGCTCCTGACCATCAAATAAGAAACAGAATGAGCACAGATGCATTAAAAAGCATAGCTGGAAATCTCTGCCTGCTCATCTTCCTGGCTGGGGAGAGGTCCTTGCCTCAGAGTACAGCACCTTGTGCACGGTCAGGCAGTGACAAACACGGGAAAGCATTAGCAAGTTGCAAGAACAAGCATTCTCTCATGAAAAAAAAATCCCATCTGAGCATCACACAAGAGGTAGAGCTGAGCACCATGTCCATCCTGCTTCAGTTTCCAAAACCATGCTTTGTTGATGCCAGTAACTGACTAAGAAAAGAAATGCTTAGAATACTTGCTCCAGATGGGAAGTTTCTAACACCATTTACTTGGGCTGCTATTTTTCCTTATTATTGCAATTTTGAGGGCTCTTAATATTTTGCAGACACATAAAAACCGGGAAAAAATACCAACACAAACAGTACAAAATAACAGTGATTATTAACCAAGAAAGGTAGAAGGAAATCAAACGCAAGGAACCTGGCATTCATCCTCCCTGAGAAATTAGGCCCTGGAGTGTCTTTTGTGCCTCTCTAAAGCTTCTCTTGTACTTACAGAAAGAAAGAGAGAAGAACAACAGTTTCCTTGCTTTGATAGCCTTCATGCTCTTATTCCCTCACCTCCACACCATCAGCAATGATGACTGCCCAGAGAGCTGCCACATCAGGCTTTGTGTTGCTTGTCCAGCAGCATTACAATGAACTTGGCACTCACACAGGAAGGAGACATACATCCCTGGTGGAGGGACAGTGTGTTGGTCGGGGCATCTCAGAAGTCTCTGAGGCCCTTGACAGCACCACTGACATGGCCAGTGAGGAGCATGGGCCATCTTGATAGGGCAGCCCAGGGCCTGCAGTAACACTGTTAAGTGGTGCCACTGAGGCTCTGCATGGCTGTTGAGCATCCTTCTGCAAGAGAATCTAGGGCAGGAAGCATTCCAGGATGCCACCTGTAGCCCAAGGCTCATGTGGGGAGAAGGATCAGTTGGGTTGGTTCTGGGTCCAATCTTGTTCAGTGTCTTCAACTACAACTTGGATGACAGATCCTCAGCAAGAGCACCCTCAGCAAGTTTGCTAACAATATGAATCTGGGAGGAGCAGATGACACACCAGAAGGCTGTACTGCTATTCAGTGAGACCTTGACAGTCTGGAGAGTTGGGTGGAGAGGAACCTGATGAGATTCAACATGGAAAAGTGGACAATCCTACACTTGGGGAGGGATAACTGCAAAAGCATCAGTACAGGTTAGGGGCTGACTTGCAGAAAAGGGGCTCTGAGAAGGACCTGGGTGACCTGATGGACAACAGGCTGGCCATGAGCCAGCAGTGTGCCCTTGTGGCCAAGGAGGCCAATGTATCCTTGGGTGCATTAAAAGAGCATGGCCAGTAGGCTGTGGGAGGTGATCCTCCCCCTCTGCTTTGCCCTGGTGAGGCAGTAGTGTGTCCAGGTTTGGTCTCCCCATTTCAAGAAATACAGGGAATCTCTAGAGGGAGAGTCCAACAGAGGGATGATGAGAGGCCTGGAGCACCTCCCTTATGAAGAAAAGCCAGGTACTGTTCAGCCTAGAGAAGAGAAAGCTGAGGAAAGCATCTTATCAATGCTTACAAGTATCTAAAGGGTAAGAGTCAAGTGGATGGGGCCAGGCTCTTTTCAGTGGTGCCCAGCCAACAGGACAAGGGGCAGTGGACACAAAATGGAATGTGAGAAGTTCCATCTGAATGGGAGGAAAAGCTTTTTTACTGTGAGGATGACAGAGCACTGGAACAGGCTGCTCAGAGAGTCTGTGGGTCTCCTCTGGAAATAATCAGAGCCAGCTTAGCTGATTTCCTGTGTAACCTGCTGTACAGAGCCTGCTTTAGGAGAGAGGATTGGAGTAGGTGATCTCCAGAGGTTCCTTCCAACCCTTATGATTGCGTGATTCTCTGATCACACACAAGCAGCCCTGAGGATTTTAGCCCATCCCCTCAAGGTGCTTTGAGCCTAAGCTTCCATAGCCTTCCGAGGAATTCCCCGGATCCATGTCTGCAAAACCTGCTGGTTTCATCTTCGATAAGCATGAAAAATTTTTTCAACGATCAATTCAATCCATCTTAGATGCTTTATTTTTTTTTCATATTGGAGCAAAACTATCACCAGTAAATACGGCTGAAATATTTCTCCCTTGTATGAGGAACCCAAGGGACAATGAGCTGCTATGATCTGACCTCATTGCATGCTTTCTTCCCGCTTCCTTTTTTTCCTTCTACTTAAACAGCAATCACTGGGTCTATCTCTATGAGGCCACAAAAAACGTTTTTCCAGTGGCAAGTTCTGGTTCCTGAGCAGAGCTCACTGTGCAGTTGTGTTTGGAGTGCTGAGGCTGCCTCCAGCTCTGGCATGTGATTAATCTGCTGATGGGATCCAGCACTTGCTGTCTGGTGCTCTCTAACAGGCAGCATTTGCATTTGCTTCACCTTTGATATTTGGAAATGTGTTCATTTTCAGTGGCTTGCTAAGGGATTCCTCTGCAAACATCTTGCGAGAATAATACACTGTTTGGAAATTGCCCTCCATCTTCACGCATCTGTGTTCACCTCTGAGACCTGCCATAAGAGCTGCCTGTGTATTCTATGCATATTGAAGTCTCTCTGAGATTTCCTTCCCTTTAGACACAAAACAGGCTCACAGTACCTGGAGGATACTTATGGTTTTGGATTTCATGCCAGTTTGTGCTCATCTTAGAAGTTGGCAGCTAAATGAAATACCTGCCAGGGGAGAAGCAGGCTCAGCACATGGTCTTGGCTTAACATCTCATTTATTAGGGAGGCCTGATTCTGTCTCCCCCACTGGCCTGAATCCAGGGACATGCAGCCTATCCCCTGGGGTGACAGCTGCATCACAGAACAACTCTCATTCCTCAGAGAAGGGAAACGGTCATCAATGTTTGTTCATTTTCCATTTTCTCCACTTTTTAAAGCTGTGCTGTAAGTCCACAATGTCTTCCTTAGCAGGGCTCTACTAGCCAGCAGTGCTCCCCTTTCTGTGTGCCTCATATGCGGAGGTGTCCCCGTTTCCCAGCTTCACCCTTCCCATGCACCCTTATCTGGAAAGCTGAGGGGCTAAAGGATTTGCATTGAAGAAGAGCTGCCCTCATTTTGAAGCTGCCCTTGGTTTAAGGCTGCAGGGGAAGTCATTAATAGTAGAAATGAAGATCTTGCTATAAGAATTCAGTTCTCTGGGGGAGAAAATGCACAGAGAGTTTGAAGACCAGCATGAAGAGTAACTACTTTTCTTTTTTTCAAGCTGACAGCCAAATAGGAAGATTGATTCACACCGCAGATTTAAGACAAATACGCCAGAAGTGTGAATTTTATCAAGGCACACATACTTGGAGTTTCAAGGTCATAAAAAAATGCTTTATATTGATAGTTTGCTTGTGGTGTTGAGGTTAAGAGATAGGAAGAGAAGCTGCTGTTTAAAATAACATATTCCCAACCACACCATGTGTCTGACAGATACGATGCCAAGAAAAATAAATGTTTTTACAGTGCTGAACAGAACCAAAATAGTATTTTGGCTAAACACAGCACATGATTTTAATGTACATTCGCACATATTTTGTGTGAACAGCACAGCAATTGCCAGCTCCTACCATCAGCAGGGAGGAAAATCCATATGCTTGGGTACCCAAAGGTCTCAGGTGTTAGCGCTGATCAGCAACAGCTCCAGATGGCTCACAGGGCTGGGCACTGCATGGATGCCCATGATGAAGGCTACCTCTATGTCAAAGCTGCCACGGGTGTAAGGAGAAGGAGGGTGACCAACAGGCCCTTGTCCTTCTCATGCAATACCAGGGGCAGCAGTAGCACAGGTTCTCACTGCATTTTGACACCTTTGAAAGGCTTCTCCTTCACATTGATGTGGAAGTCTTCTCAGAGGGACTGGCACGACATGCACTTCCTTGTGGAAATGTGTCGGGATCAGGCAGCAGAAAGGCTGGCTGCCTTTGCAAGACTGTAAGTCTTGCAAGATATGACACATCACTGCCCAATTTGCAAGTGTAAATCAGGTTTGTTTGGGCATGCAAAGCTTGAAAAAGATAGGAGTGAAGCATGAGCAAATTCTCAAAACCACCTAGCTCTCAGCACAGCCTGGGTTAATATGTCAACCCAAGCCTCAGTTTCCTTAGCTCTGCTTCAGGACAGCTAACTTATCTCAGCTGATGATTCTAAGTCTAGCCAATGCAGGGACAGTAGGGGAAGATCCTCCCTCCCTCTCTATAGAGTTGGAATACATCCTGGTGCTCTTACTGAGTCTCAAAATTGTAGGACAATGCTCATATAAAACATGCAAGGCTAAACTGTTAGCTCTTGAGACGATGTCCTGAACTTTGTATCAGCAGGGAGCTGTATCTCCTGTATCAACATTAGAAGTCCATGGTATCTGGACAGTACACTGAATGCATGCACTTCCTGTGAAATACATGTTACTGTATTCCTTCTGTGTTCCTCATTCTCTGTCTAGCTGGAAAATGAGTGAGTTCATTTTGTTTTATTTTAATTTTTGCTTTCTTTCAGCTGATGTATTTCCTGCTGGGTGCCCTGGCTCTGGTTCTATGTGTCGTGGCAGTGGCTTTTGCGGCCCACCATTATCTACAGATAACAAAATTTACTTGTGATACTGTCCTCGAGTCCTGCCAGTGCAAAGTGGACACCACAGACCCCCTCAGCAGGACCTTCGTCTACCAGGATGCCACTGACTGCAGCAGTGTCACCAGCATGCTCAGCCTCTACCTGATTCTGCAGATGGTGCTCAACCTGCTTGCAGCACTGGTGTGTCTGCTGGCGTGCTTCGTTATGTGGAAACACAGATACCAGGTCTTTTATGTGGGTGCTCGGTTCTACCCTTTAACTACTACTGAGTGCCAGCAACAGAAAGTGTAGGGTCTGCATTGGCAGGGCCTGTAGCCAGGCAATGGAAGATGTCAGCATTCTGCCACCATAGATGCCACACATGGATCAATGTTTTTAAGGCTTTTGACAAGGAAAAACATTCACATGTTTAATGAATATATTTTTCAATCATTTTGAATTTTGAATCTCAACTCTTGCAAAAAGTCCTTAGTGAGACTATATAGAGGTCATCTAACATTCTGAAGATGCAACTGTAGTAATACTCACCGAAGAGCATCTTCAGTAGCCATAAACAACATGAGCTTAAAAGGCATTGGGAACTCATCTGAAGGGCTACAGCTGTTTAGACATGGGGTCTATTTCCCTCACTGGTAGATATTCATTCTTGCCTTCAGAGAAGATATACCATTTTCTACCAGATGAAGATCTCGTCCAAACTGCTTGATTATAATTATGCTGATAACGCTTAGGGAATATATTGTATTTTGGATGCACCAATGGGAATTTACTGTATGGAAAAGGAACCAAAGAGGTCAAGACCTCTTCAAATGCAGGCTGAGATCAGCAGCAGAAGTGACTATATTGATGACTACCATATAAAAGATGTTTCAGAGTGACTGGTGATGGCAGTTACCCAACCCAGTTATGAACAAACACCAACTTCAGTGGGTTTGCTGATGGTGATGGGGAGGCAATGCCTCAGACCCCAGATACTTTACAAATGAGCACTCAGCGCTTTACGAGAAAAGATCAGTTTAAAGAACCTTGAGCTGAGCTCCTAGGATGGAGGTCCCTAAATCACTGGCCACATTGAATGCCCTGCTGTAATTGCATTCTTCCAAACCCAGCATCAGGCCAGTTCTACCAATTATATTTCCTGTGCAACAGGTCAAATGCATTTTTGGTGTAACTCCTCTGAAGACAGCCTTACACACCAGCTGTGGATTTGGGCCAACAGCCCTGAAAGATAACATCCCTGAAACAATCCATGTTTTGAAAATCGGATAGACGGAAGGAAGCAAGAAGAAACTGCCAGTCTACCAAAGACATCAACTGCAAATAATGAGGGCAAGAGAATAACAATTTCTTTAAAAGCAGCATAGAATAACAATCTGTGTTCAGCGCTCTTTCACCCGGAATGCATGACTCTGAAAGTGCTTTACAGATTATTAGCCTTATACCAGGATGAGCATGCTGGCTTGTCTCTCCAGCTGCCCAGCGTGCAGCTCTAAGATGACAGGAGCAACTCTGGTCAGCAGCATTGGGCCCAGTATCGATGCAGGTCAATGCAGCTGGCGCTCACACTTTGTCATCATTTGGGATTTCCTGGTCCCTGCCAGAGCCAGGGTATCTCTGAAGTGGAGTTGAAACACCATACGCCAGAAGAACCGCACCACTATCATTATCAGCAAGGAGGAAGCAAGTAGAATTTCAACAAGAGTTTAACGAAGCAAAAACTTTCTGTTTCTGCTAAAAAAAAAATATAGTCACCAGTGTATCAAAAAGCTGGGCTGGCAAAAAGCTTGTTGTATAAGCAGCTCTAATCCTAGCCAAAGAGTGCCTTCCATGCAGTGATCACGCAGTGAGCACACATCACCCCAGGCTAGACCAGCAGACTGCCAGTGTCAGAGAACCACAGTGGGGGCTGCTCTCCTGAGGTCCACCTAGAGGAAAGTGCTCATGTTTCTGTCGCAGAAACTTCTAGCACAGACATACCATCAGTCACCATGGTGCTCTGTGCAAGCTGTAAAGCTGAGACCTTTTGAAAATGAAAGATTCAAGACCTGCTCCCAAACAGCCATTTTTTTGTACCAAAAACCAAGTGACAATAGCAACTGTGGCAGTAAAGGGACATTTGCAAGAACTCCTGCTGGTTGTCCACGCATGGCTACCTATACTAAGTCCCAGATTGGACTCTCAAGCATACTCAGAGCTAGCACATAGTGGCCCAGTGAGGTGGGACCTGGTGTGGCAGTGGAGGAAGCAGCCCAACTCCTCTGACTTTGGTGGAGCATTCTGCAATCAGTACTGATGGACCAGATCCCATATGAGACAGACACACAGGTTTGAGGGCCTCCTCCTACTGTTGCCATCAGTCTCTGCATCCCAATGGCTGATGAAGCCAGAGGAAGGCTCTGCTGGCAGAGCCCCTTCCTAAATGGCCTGGGTACCTGCCTGGGATATCTTCTGGGGCAGCCCCGATAGAGATTTTGAGATGCCAACTGGAGAACTGGTGGGGAGGGATACAAGTGACGGGGAAGGGAAGAAAGCCTGCTCTGCTTAGGAAGCCACTTTAATAACAACATTTTAATCACAGCGCACTCCCTGCTTCGAGCCACTACTGCCAAATTTGGTTCACTCTCTGGTGCATCACAGTGTAACCTTTCACTCCAGAAGAAAACAATATTCGTTGTATGTTCTATGGGTATTCTAATGCTTTACAAATAAATACGGAGCATTTTGATCTAGCAAAGAGTAACTTCCGTATTTCCTCTTTAGATAGCTCAAGAGCATAAAATGAAAACAGAGAGGAGAGACCAGGAAACAGACACAGTAGCATGTGGAAACATTCTTCTCCTGGATATAGTTTTACAATGCATTTTACTCTAATTAGGAATTTCAGAAAGTATTAGTTATAGGATTAGCACCTAGCACAGCACATTCAGACAGCTCCCAGCCTTTCTCAGTGTTGGGGAAAGGTGTACGGACTGCACCAAGAGGCACAGTGGGATTTGCAGGCACGGAGGGGACAGGGGTGTTGAAGAAAAGGACTTTTTAAAAGTTATTATTCCTGGAAATGTTTTCTCTTGGTGAATTGTACAAGATGGGGCAGGAGTAGTCCACTCTGACACGCAGAAATTGTGAGGGGCCCTATGTAATTTGCTCTTAAAACCCAGGTGTGATTCTCATTTGCACCCTGGCCACTTTATGCTGTTTTTCCAGCGTAAAGGGGCTGTAACGATGGCATCGATCATTTTTACACCTACTTTATGGCCATTTTACACGGCTAAAAGGGCCCTTTGTGTAAATGAGAACTCAAGCCCTACAGGACTTAATGGAGAGGAGTAGACAGCGCAAGATCCTCTGATAGGGTCTATTAATGGGGTATAACTATCCGTTGAATTTTATAGCTCAGCTTAGAGAGCATCAGTCTCGATTAAATTCAGTTCCTCAGAACTTACAGCCTCTTCCAGAGGCTGTAAGCCCCGCTGACACGGCTCTGCCGCCCAGCGCACGCACAGCCACCGCTGCAGTACACATCGCTGCCGTGTGTGAAAGGAGAAGCGGTGGCCGCTGCCCTGCTCCAGCTCTGAGGCACTCGTTGCAGCACTATGCAAATACCGGAGCGACAAGAACGGCAACGAAAAGGGAACCGAGACGCAGCACCGAGCTGACATGGCGCACTGGCAGCCCGAGTGGGTGCCACGGTGGCAGGAGGGCTGCGCTCTTCCTCCTCCTCCTCCTCTCGCTGGCCCCGCACGAAGGGGAAGCGAGGCTCTCAGCCACCTCCCGCCGTGCCTTCACGTGGTCCCCATCTGCGCAGGGCCAGCCCTGCGTGGGCACTTCTTGGAGCCCTGCCTGAAAGCCAGCGCTGAGCTAGAGGCTGGAAACCGTCATCAACTCACAGGACAATATTTTTTTCTTTCCCCTTTTTTATTTTTATTTTTATTTTTTTTTTCACTCGCACTACCAGCCAGTGCAGCGCTTCCTCTGGGGCCTTTTGAAACAGAAAACACGCCGCTAGCGTGTGAGAGGAGCCGCAGCTCACGTCCTCTATATTTAGAAAGCCAGGATGTCATACCTCCCCTTGAAATTTTCATAGTCCCCTGCACCCCACCCACCCACACACGTACTCGTGCTTGCGTCTGGAAATGTTTGTCGATATTAGCACGGGGTGTTGGCTTAGGGGGATTCAAGGGACGTGCAGAGCAACAACAGCAGTGCTGCCCTAAATGCAAGGCCTCCTTAAGGATGTGGGCGGTGGGCCTGGCCCGGCTCCCAGGGCACGGAGATGGGATTTATGGCATGGTCCAGCTGTGGCACAGCTCCTGAGGTATCCCTAGGTTTTGGGGCTCACAGAAGCCCCCCAGAAGTGTTATGTCAGGTAGTGCTGAGCACACAGTTGGCTGCTTCTCCCCACCTCCATCTGGTACAACTGCACACACACATGGGCTGACTGTTGTGGCACCTGGAGCAAGGCCTCACAGAAGGTGAATTCTGGGGCTGCCTTGCCCACACAGCTACCCTAATGGCAATTTATTTATCTATTTATTGCTTTTTGCTATCCTGCTGCCTCCCGCAATCTCTAATCTGTAGTGTTTATCTTCAGACTGGTTCTGCAACTGAGCATTATAAAGAATGATTGCATCCACAAAGGCTAAGGCACATTTTTATTCTTTGTTTTTCTGCTCAATTTCCATGCCTTTGTCTAAGGAAACAGTCAGAAGACTCATCTGAACTTCAGGCTTGGTGAGAGGAGACTTTTTTCTCTTTTTTCCCCAACAGCTGTGCGCAATGTATATTTCACTTGTTACCACACTCTCACCTTCCACAAAGCCAGCTCTGCATTACAGTGTAGCTCCTGAGGCGTGCTCACAGCGGCTGACTGCAGGCACAGGAGGGAGCAAGATCCATCCCCAACTGCTCCTCTCTCCACAAACCAGCAGCTAGTGGGGTAGCTGCTCACCAGGGCTTGGGTGCTTCTGCTGCCAGCTGCAGGGCCACACCTCGCACGCTTTGCAAACAGAGGCCAAGCCAGGAAGGCAGTCTGCAGCAGATGATTTGAGCACACACTCATCCTGCAGTCAGATGCACTGCAACTGGCAAGCATTGGCTGACCTCAAGTGACTGGAGATGCAGAGTGACACTGGCTGAGGCAGCCTTGGCCTTAAGCATCTCCAGGGATGGGGCATCCACAGCTTCTCTGGGCAGCCTGTGCCAGTGCCTCACCACTCTTTAAGTGCAGAATTTCTTCCTCATACTTAATCTAAATCTCCCCTCTTTTAGTTTAAAACCATTCCCCCTTGTCCCTACATTCTGTGCTCTACTCTATGCTCTCTTATAGAAGTCCCTTTTTCCCTTTCCTGTAGGTCCCCTTTAAGTATTGGAAGGACACTACAAGGTATCCTCAGAGCTTCCTCTTCTCCAAGCTGATCAAGCCCTGTTCCTTCAACCTTTCTTTTATGAGAGGTGCTCTAGCCCTCTGTGCATCTCTGTGGCCTCCTCTGGACCTGCTCCAACAGCTTCACATCTTTCTTGTGCTGGGGGCCCCAGGCCTGGATGCAGCACTGCAGCTGGGGCCTCACACTGTCAGAGTTGAGGGGGACAATCACCTTCCTCTCCCTGTTGGTCACCCCTCTCTTAATGCAGCTCAGGATACAGTTGGCCTTCTGGGCTGCAAGTACACACTGCTGGCTCCTGTTGACTTTTTAATCCACCAGAACCCCAAGCCCTTCTCAGGAATGCTCTGAGTTCATTCTCTGCCCAGCCTGTCTTCATGTTTGGGATTGCCCTTAGCCAGGTGCACCTTACACTTGATCTTGTTGAACTTCATTTGAACGAGGTGGGTTTTTAACCCCATTTCACTCTCTGCATCTGGGTAGGGAAAACTCTATTTTTAAACTGTCCACAACTGACTGAATAGGGATTTCTTCTTAATTCAGTGTAGCATTTCTCTTTCACCAAAACTACGATGAGATTAGGCCTTTACTTGATCCATCCTGCATCATGCTAGCTAGGAGCATCACTCTTGAGGCTGAAGCCACACACACACAGAGGGGTACAGTTGCCACCCTCATGTCTTTTTTGGGATGTTGTATTAAGCCTGCTAGGTGACTTTATTACAGGGATATGGCCCAGGCAATTGAGCAGCTGGTGACTGAGGGCCATCATGTGCTCCATCCCTGAAGCTACGCTCATTCATAGCACATTGGTCACCAGGGATTTGGCAGGGGTGGTTTGGGGAACAACTGTGATGAAAATAATTCAAAGCAGACGTCTACACTTTCCCTTCCACCTTGTGAACACAGGGTGAGGAGCAGCACATGCACATGGGGAACTGTGGGGAGCTGATGGAAAAGTGAAAGCTTCCCGTCTGGTTTCTCTGTCTGAGCCTGCCAGATTGCAGAGGAGCAACAAAGCAGTACAGAAAACAAAGTGTTACTGGTGAAGAAGTCAGGAATAGAGGCAAGAGTGTATTTGTGCTGGGTCTATCCCACTAGTGGGAGTCACACAAGCACCCCAGAGCTGCAGGGATCCAGACAGCCAGGCTTCTCACTTGATATTCTTCACTGTTGACACAGGAATTGAAATTTGTAATCTTGATTAGGAGGAATGGCAGCTTATGAGTTGTGCTCACATATCTCTGTGTATAGATTCAATATTTTCCTTGTGTACTGGAGGAGATGCTAGCAAAATGTTCCACTTGGATCTCTGTGTTTTCTTTGTGGATGAAAGTTTTGTTCCACGTCCTCCACTGGCTC